ACTCTTTTTTGAAGTTTTTTTTTTTTTTTTTTGAGAAAAATATAAGTGATTGATATGTTGTAGTAAAAGGTCAGGTAAGATTAACATTAAAATTTTGTATTATTTATATTTTTTTAACTAAATGTGAACCATTATATCAAATAAATTTAATATATAATTAATTTAGAATAAGTTTGAATATTATCTTAAACTAATTGAAATTTAATTACTATAATCATAATTTAAAAATTAAGACTCAATTTAATTAATTCAAACAAAATAATCTTAACTATAAAAGTAATTTATTTGAACTCAATTCATTAACATAATCTTATGAGGAATATATTAATTTCTCAATAAATAATAAAATACAGAGTGATATATCTATATTTTTTTAATGGGAACAACTATAATTTTGAATGTATTTTTTATAATTTTTTATTAAAATTTTATCTCAAGATCTATGATTACACTAAAGAAAAATATTATTTAAGAATTATTTAATGGCTAGTATTAATTTGTGCCCCCATTAAAAAAAATTTCTGGCTCCGCCCCTGCTTGAACTTGAACTGGATTAATTAATCAAGTTCAAGCTCAAGTAAAAAATCACTCAGAACTCGACTAAGACTCGGCTCATTTACACTCCTAGACCGACTAATGATTTTCACCTCAACTAGATCCTATCATAACTTCCTCACTTCTTTATTCTCAACCTTCTCACTCACGTTGTAATTTTTGTTGCTTCCTTATATATTATAAAAAGATAGAAAATGATTATGATTTAAATGATAAATTTTTTTATGTATCATTAAAATGCAAAATAAAATCTTAACTTGTTTATTTTATTTTATTTTATTTTTAACAAATTTATTGTATCATATATATTTGATGGTGTGTGCAACTTTTTAAAAATGGATGTGATATTTATCCGGTACCCAACTGAATCTCTTAAATTCCCGGTACCTCGCTCTCTCTTCTTTGCTTTGTACGCTGTTCCACGCATGGCTAGCTGAGACTTGAGAAGCCTTTGGCTTCGTCTTGACTTTCTCCAAGGTATGGCAAAGCGGACGGCCGCAACGCTGCTTCTTCTCTTGGTGTGCGCCATCGCCGGACTTCATGCCAGTGCGACGGCCACAGATAACCAAGACAGTAAGTTTCTTCTACTTCTTTCATCAATCTCATTTAATCCAAATCCAATAGATTTGTATCGCTTGAAGGAAAAGGAAATTGTTAAGAGATGATGCAAACTTTGTTTCAGTTTCTGCACTTCGAGGTCTTATGGGTTACATGAAGAACATGCCTTCGGGCTGGGGGAAGTCGAACGATCCCTGCGGTTCGGAGCCATGGGAGGGAGTCACCTGCAGTGGCACTCGGGTGACAGAGCTGTAAGGCCTTTAAGCTATTTAATCCTCATTTGTTAGATATGGTATTGGTGGCATGGACTTTGATTTGAGTTTTTTTTTTTTTTTCTTTTATTGTTCAGGAAATTGTACAACATGGGGCTTAGAGGAAAGTTGAGCGGTGACATCGCAGCCCTAACTGCGCTGAGGACCCTGTGAGTTTGTTTCTCTTAACTTTGGGCTAAAATCTTAGTTTCTAGATCTTGTAGTACTAATTTTCAACAAGCATTCTTATTTGTTTTTTCAACACCCTCAAGAATTCAATCAGTGGAGCAGACACAAAGACTTTAATAGGATCTGATGATATTGATGCAAGAGTGCATCTCTTTTCTCACAATTTGATTTGCAGAACTCAACGTATGGTGTGAGAAGTTGATTGATGATTTTTCGTTTGCTGTTTTGCGGTGTTTTTGGGAATATAGACAAAGGATGGATGCCTATTAATTTAGTGTTTTCTGCATCATACTTTTGGAATCATAATGTTTATCTAAATCAGTAATTGAGGGTTCTTATTTTGAGAATTGCAGGGATCTTTCCTATAATATTGATCTAGGCGGCCAAGTTACACCTGACATTGGAAACTTGCAACAGCTTGAAGCCTTGTAAGTTTATTAAATTCTTTAATTTTTTAATGGATTCAATATAAGTTCAAATCATCATGAAATATTTGACCTGACTAATTTCAATATTAACTGGATAATCATTCAGAATGCTGGTAAGTTGCAGCTTCAGTGGTACCATCCCCAGTGAAATAGGAAAACTAACTCAGCTCAAATTTTTGTAAGTTGCTGTAACCAATGGCCCAACATTCTTACTAATGTTCTTTGAGAATTTTCCACGTTTGTTTAATCTCTTTATTTATTGTCCCTAGGGCTCTGAATTCAAACCAGTTCATTGGGAACATACCTTCTTCTCTAGGAAGCCTCTTCAAACTCTCTTGGTTGGACTTGGCAGACAACCAATTGAGTGGCTCTTTGCCCGTCTCTAATGGCTCGGTCCCTGGACTAGATCAGCTTGTTAACACGCAGCACTTGTGAGTTCATACAATTTGTTCTTGTTTCAGATTATCTGAAGGCAAGGTTTCAATCAATTACCATTATCTAGATCCATGATAGTGATTCTTTTTAACATATTATGCTTCTTTACAGCCATCTCAACAAGAATAGGCTTTCAGGTCCGATCCCAGAAAAGCTTTTTAGCTCCAATATGCGGCTGAAACATTTGTAAGATGCAAACCTCAACTTCTACATTACTTTCAATATAAAGATGAAGTTCTTCTGACTCCTCATTGCTGTAATGACAGACTTCTAGATAGAAATAAATTAGATGGGACAATTCCAGCTTCTATAGGAACTGTACAAACACTTGAGATTATGTGAGTATGACCAATTGTCTATAACAAAGGCATAAATTATGGATTTTCTTTTTAATGGATATTTCTTTTATATAGTCGTCTTGACAATAATTTTTTGGGAGGCCCAGTTCCTTCTAACATAAACAATCTTACCAGTCTTCATGTCCTGTAAGTAATCATGGCCACTTTTCAGCTATCGCATGTTAATATTGGAAGTACCTAATGAAATCATTCACTTCTTCTTTTTCAGAAATTTAGCAAACAATAATTTAATTGGACCTATGCCAAATCTAACTGGATTAAATAGCCTCAATATTATGTAAGAAGCTTTCAAAATGTATCAGGAATTCACTTTTATCTTGTTTTATGAATCTATGGTAGATATGAAAGCCTTGTTATTTTTATTTCAGCGATCTCAGCAACAATTCATTTAATCCTTCTGAAGCTCCCGCATGGATTTCAGAAATTGAAAATGTCACCACTTTGTAAGCCACTCTCAAAGTGTCTGCTTGAAATTCGTATACTATGAATTTTGTTAATTGACGAACACTTCTTCTTGGGGGGCTTGCAGGGCTATTGAATCTGGGAGACTTCGTGGACAAGTTCCACAAAAACTCTTTAGCTTTCCTCGATTGCAGCAAGTGTAAGTGTATATTTTTTTATTGAAGTATTGTTTCAAAGAAAGTTGGGGGGGGGGGGGCGGGAATCAAGGAATCAGGGATAAACAAAATATTGGGAATAAAGTGAATGGTGTCTTTTTTCAATTTCTGATTGATCATATTCTTTAACAGGATACTTAAGAACAACTCCTTTAATGGCACTCTAGACATGGGGAGCAACATTAGTGAACAACTGCAAGTTGTGAATCTCGAAAGCAATTCTCTTACCTCGGTAGCACTTAGCTCGAGCTATAACAATTCAATATTGTAAGAGCTCGTCTAATATCCAATTTGTTGTGCTTAGAATTCTTACTGCATTACAAAAGCTAAATGGGTCATTACAGTTTGCTCAAGTCATTGTTTCCTGGTGATGGCAGGCTCAGTGGAAATCCTGTGTGCAGCAATATTCACCTAATAGGGACAAACTATTGTTCTCCCCCACAAAACTTCTCACCAATTTACTCAACTGGTCTTTCCAACTGTGGTGGAAAATCATGTTCTACAAATAATTCATGTTCACATCCATACGAGGGAATTCTGTTCTTTAGAGCGCCATATTTTCGAGATCTTAGAAATGAGACTGCATTCCAATTATTGGAGAATAGTATTTGGGAGCAGTATGGTCCAAATTTAGGGTCAATGTCTCTTCAAAATCCCTTTTTTGACAATGATTCATATTTGGAAGTGCATTTAGTACTCTGTCCCTTGAATGGAACCTACTTCAATGTAAAGGATATTCTTGAGAATCTTGATCTGAGTAGCAACATCTATACAGCTCCACAAGTCTACGGGCCATTCTACTTTGGAGCATTTCCGTACTCTTTTCCAGGTTGCTTCTATTTGATTTACAACCAACTCTTAGAACTATGATGGCATATCGTCTAATAGTGGAATACTTGCAGGACCATCACGTATGTATATAGGTCTGATAGTGGGATTGGTAGTTGGATGTACACTTCTTGTTATTGGGCTTGCTAGTGCTGGTTTCTATGCTTTCCAGCAAAAGAAACGGGCAAAAAAAGCCATTGAAATGAGCAATCCTTTTGGTATGTTCTGTTTTTAACAAGCTAATTATAAACAAATTTCTTTGCGATTAAGACTTGGTTAGGGACGACTTTTTTCCTGCTTCTTAAAACAACTTTCTAATTCAATAATTAAAATTTTTGTACTAAAAATCTGTTTTAAGAAGCAGTAAAAAAACCATCCCAAATAAAGTCTAAGTATCCCTCATGCTTGTTTATCATGAATTGTATTTTTATTTTTCCAAAATTTGTCAAGCGATAATTGTTGCTAAAATTAGTTACAATTCCTAAAAACAAAGTTAAAATACTGAGTATTTGAACTTTTTCCTATCTTCAGCTACATGGGAAGCTAGTTTTGAAGATAGCGGTGCAGCACCTCAGTTGAAGGGGGCCAGATTTTTTTCATTTGAAGAACTCAAAAAGTGCACGAACAACTTCCCAGAAATAAATGTCATTGGATCAGGAGGGTATGGGAAGGTAACTTTTATCCAACTCCACCAACAATGGTTTTTAATCTTTTGTCAGTTGGCAATATTTCTAATCTCTCCACTCCTTTTGCAGGTCTATAGAGGAATGCTTCTAGATGGGAGGATGGTCGCAATCAAGAGATCAAAGGTCGGATCAAGTCAAGGTGGTTTAGAGTTCAAGACTGAGATCGAGCTGCTATCTAGGGTTCACCACAAAAATCTGGTAGATCTTGTAGGCTTTTGCTTTCAACAGGGAGAGAGAATGCTAATATATGAGTATGTACCCAATGGAACACTCAGAGAGAGTTTGGCGGGTATTCTCTCTTCAACCGTATGATGGCAATAGTCTTCCATTCATGTACCTTAAGATTTCGTTTGGGATAACTTTCTTACTGCTTCTTAAAGCAGCTTTTTAGTCAAAAAAATTAAATATTTTGTAATAAAAATCTGCTTTAAGAAGGAGAAAGAAAGTCGTCCCAAACGAAATCTTAATTTGTTGATTTCACTGTACTGACCAAAACCTGCAATTGCTTCAATTATAAACTTTAGGTAAGGGTGACACTCAACTGGATTGGATGAGAAGACTTCAAATTGCTCTAGACTCAGCAAGAGGACTGGCCTATCTCCATGAACTTGCAAATCCTCCCATCATTCACAGAGACATCAAATCAGCCAATATCCTTCTGGATGAAAATCTAAATGCCAAAGTTGCAGATTTTGGTCTCTCAAAGTTGATGACTGATGGAGAAGTAGGTCATATCTCCACCCAAGTGAAGGGAACACTGGTAAGTGTAGTAGGTCTGAAGTAAGGTTTTGTTTGGGACGGTTTTTTTACTGCTTCTTAAAACAATTTTTTAGTAAAAAATTTTTAATTTATGTACTAGAAAGCTGCTTTAAGAAGCGGTAAGAAAACTGTCCCAAACGAAGCTTAAGTTACTAGTTGAATTTTGATCAATTTGTTTTAGCTAACAAAAACTCAAACCTTCACAGGGCTACCTTGATCCCGAGTATTACATGTCGCAAATACTCACAGAGAAGAGTGATGTCTATAGTTTTGGAGTAGTTATGCTGGAACTAATAACTGGAAATCCACCAATACATAATGGAAAGTACATAGTTTCTGTTGTGAAGTCTGCACTTAATAAAAATGACGTTTACTATGGTTTGAAAGATGTAATGGATCCTGTCATTAGAGAAGCAACCCATCTTGTAGGCTTCAGAAGGATTGTGGAGCTGGCCTTGCTGTGTTTAGAGGAATCAGCTACAGATCGTCCAACAATGGCCGATGTCGTGAAGGAGATCGAAGCTATGCTGAAGATGGAAGGATTGAATGCGAACACAACCGAAAAGTCTACAAATGCTATTGATCTTACAGCAGCAGGTGCTTATCCTTCTCATCTTTATGATAAAATAATGACTCAGAATGAAGTAAGTGGCAGTTCCTTTGCTTACAGTGGCAATTATTCTTTGCCAACAAAGTTGGAACCAAAATAATACCTTTAGTTTCTATAACCCTGAAATTGTTTTGTTCACAATGCTTAATGTCATTGTGAATCTTAGGAATACATTCTATTTACTGTATCATACAAGTGAAATTTCTTTTTGCCTCTGAAACCTTCTGTGTAATTATGTAAAATTAACTATATTAGAATTTAAACATTTTTGCAATGATGAAAACGTGTATGGAACATTGAAAATAGAAATTCAAATTTAGAGCTGTAAGCCTGTTATTTGACTTCATAATTGCTGACTGCTAAAAAGTTTAATTGATTTTGTGTTCAGATTGAGCTCAGATAAAAAATTAATGAACTTATTAATGAGTCATGTTCAGCTGGGCACAATTTTGAATTGGGCTTAAGGTTTCATTTGGGACAGTTTTCTTATTGCTTTAGGAAGCGGCTTTCTAGTACAAAAATTTCTTGAATTATAAAATTGTTTTAAAAAACAGTAAGAAAATTATCACAAATGAAATCTAAAGACTTGGCCAGGTCTATGTAACTTATATTTAGGCCTAACCCTCTTATCCCTCAGAGATTAATTTTTGTGATGCCTGAATTCATCCCGAGGCTAATTCGTAATAATTTTCTCACATCCCTGCACAAAAATCTGAAACAAAGAGGAATGATAAGCTTTTGCCTTTTGCTTTGATTATATGAGAATCTTGCGTGGAAATTGGACCGGGTTTTAATCCTTGAATTGTTGATCGTGGAATTTGCTTATTTTGTAGAATAAGCTATCAAGAAAAATCGTGTCAAATTGGATGACACGCATTCCATGACTGACATTTTCGCACACAAGAATACAAGAGAGGACGTGCATTGCATGAAATGACAAATGAGCACAACAGACCAAATTACAAAAATTAAAATAATTAAATTGACTTGACTCTTCTGTACGGAATGATTTGTTATGGCGCTGTTTGGAATCATTTGTGTTTTATTTTTTTTATTTTTTTTATATTTTATTTTATTTATGTTTTGATTTGAAATAAAATATTTCTATTATCTAAAAATAGATAATTATTTTTATTTACTATCAAATAGGTTATAAGCCCTAATTTTTATTTCTTGTCCCACGATTTATTTTCTTCGCTCCATTCCACTCTTCTTCAACGTAAATCCATCGCTATTCCCTGCTCCGCTTGACTACATTTACTTCCACATGCTGTTCTCCTAGGTCGCCTATATGAAAATAATCTGACAACAGCTTTGTCATAGGCATCGAGTTTGACAGTGGCATTTCGTTTTCTCATTTTCTCTCCCCATTTTGGTTGTGTATGTATTTCATTCTATATCTCTCTCCATATCTCCGAGGAAGAGCACCTCCAATTATTTTTATTGACTATCAAATAGGTTATACCCGCGATTTATCTACTACTCTTATTCAACGTAAATCCATTGCAATTCACTACTCTGCTACTCGACTACATTTACTTCCACATGCCATTCTCCTAGGTCGCCTCTATGAAAACAATATGACAACAGTTTTATCACATGCGTCGGGTTTGACAATGGCATTTCGTTTTTCTCGTTTTCTCTCTTCATTTTGGTTGTGTATGTATTTCATTCTCTATCTCCCTCCATATCTCCGTGAAAGTAAATCTAGTCATGTAGTCATAAAATAAAAATTACTCTAAACAATCATATCTTGAAAAAAATAAAAATAAAATGATCCCAAAAATAAGCTCCAAGTGTTTAGTTACTTGTGTATCTTTTTAATAACTAAATGATTACAATGATAAAATTTACAGAAAATCTGATATTTTTGAAAATCTTTGATTGCCCTTAATCATGTATTGCATTGTTGTGGTTGAAATAAAATTATTTTGTTTTCTTAAGGTTGAATAAGCTATTTTCTATATTATTTATGATCATGAAAAAAAAAACGTAAGATGCAATATAACAATGGTTAATGTTTTGATTATTTCAGATTAGCTTTGGTTGTAATTAATCTAAGCTCATTATTATCTTTGATTTCCTAATTTTTATAGTTTAGGCCCATTCTCTTGATTTTTGGTGAAGTTTTGAAATAAATTAAAAAATTTCACTCAATTTTTATATATTTTGAATGAATTCTCATTAAAAGTCTTGTGCTTCTATAATCCTAATGTTTAAAATGCTTCACTAAAATTTCTCAAAGTAGCTACTATTATTAATGTTGATGGATATCAAAAAAAAAAAAATTGTTGATGGATATCTATTTAGATGGTTTTCATTAACCATTATTCATGATTGGTAATTCCATTAATTATACATTGGCTATAGCTTATTGAAGTCGATGGGTCCCTCAATCTACAATAGCTTATATACGCAGCTCATTTTGATCTGTTTGTTGGGAGCTTTGACTATCAACTAAGATGTCTTGAGTTCGAGTGTTATGTTTGTGATGTTTGTGTTAGTTTATTTTAATTGGCCTAAATGATGTGTTTTGTGCTAGAAAGTTTGAGTCAGTACGTCTCAACGCTGAACAAAGATTCAACATGCATAATTGAAAGTAGTAGGACAAACTAATTTCTTACGTGGAAAACTTGGAAAGGGAAAATACCACAGGTCTTAACCCAATTGTAAAATCCACTAAAAAACAATTGATATAAGGATCCTCCTTTCTTTAGTGTTGAAAAAGAATGAATGACATTTTCAATAGAGATAATAGAAAGTAGATGTTCACAGATGTACTTTTATACCTAATAGTAGGGTTAAATTTCATGCCCAACTATAGTTTGTCCATTGCTAAAATTTCTCAAAGTAGTGATTACTTTTCTTAATGCTGATGGATATCTATTTAGATGGGTTTTCATTACCCATTAATCATGGTTGATAATTCCATTGATTATTCATTGGCTATAGTGATTGAAGCAATAGGTCCCTCAATATTAGAGGTGTCAATTTTTGATACGACTTTGTATCTGACATGAAAAAATTTAGGTTCGGGTCAACCCATTTGTGAAACGTGTCGGATTCGAGTTCAACAAACTTACACGTTTCAAAAATCTGGTTGGGTTAACCCGGAAACCCGAAAATAACTCAGAAATAATCTGCATGCGTCTGCTGCCCGCCATGCCCGCATTGAGTGCCCGATTGCCTGCTTTGCCCGACTCGTTGAGTTACTTCGTGTGCATTGCCCGACAGGTCGCCATTGCTTCGCGTCTTCTTGTGAGTCACATCACCACTACTTTGCCGCTGGAATTGGAAGTAGCTATCGGCGACGGGAGCTTAGCTCGTGCTTTTTCAGCCAAATTTCGTAAATCCGGGTCGAGTCGTGTTAACCTGGCAACCCGCGTAGGGGGGTCCAGGTTGAAATAGCCGACCCGTTTGCAAACACGGGGAAGGTTTGTGGTTGACCTATTTAGAGCCGGATCAACTCAGTTTCAACCTGAATCCGACACGTCGACCCGATTTGACACCCTTACTCAATGTTGCACCTTGAAGAATCTTCCTCAAACTTGCTAATTTTTCAAGTGAGTGCATATGCATGTACGGATATCGTATAATACATTAATTATAATATATTACTACACAATCAACTAATTAACAAACTCCTACAGTTCCATCCTCTGTTCAATTGCAGATTAACAATAATCATTTTTCCAATCCCAAAGCCGCAAATATAAAAATAATTGCGTTTTTCAGATAATTATATACCCCAAAAAGTAATTTTTAGGAATTGTAGTACTTCCGATGCAAGAAATGCCAACGATTAAATATTTTTAATGTTATATTTAGTACTAATTAAGAAGCATTATTTATATTAATGGCAGATATTGCCACTTCGTTGTGGACCCCACATGCCTCTTTAGTCGACTTATTCTGCACGGAATTTGCTAGCAATGAGAAGACCTCATATCGTCGTCACTGTTCCCATCGTCATCATCATCATCATCATTATTATTATTATTATTATTTTATGATTAAGAATAAATTATAAGAATATATATAATTTAAGTTGAATGATTGAAGTGATACTAGTGATAAGATTAGGGCAAATTATTGCGTCAGGTGACCGAACGCAGAGATGCGTTCGGTCTCTCTCTGTCTACAGTAACCTGCGCTTTACTGTAGCAGTGCTACAGTAAAGCGCAGGTTACTGTAGACAGAGAGAGACCGAACGCATTTCTCTGTCAGGTGACCTGATGCAATAATTTGCCTAAGATTAGAGGGAGTCGCCTAACATAATTGGTCAGATAAAATGTATGTCTTCTGATGATTCGGATCTATTACATTTAGGTTTTATTTGGGACTATTTTTTTTTATTTTTTAAAATTATTTTTAAGAACAAAATTTTCATCATCATGAATTAAAATTTTTGTACTAGAAAGTGATTTTAAAAAGCATTACAAAAGCTGTCCCAAACGAAGGTTTAGTCTATGTTAAACTTAAAAATTTTGATTAGAATGTACTTAAAATGTCTTTTTTTTTTCATTAGATTTAAATGAGAAATTTACTCGTAATTGGAGACAATGGAAAAATAAAATTCATGTAATGGACCCGCATAGTGTGATAAAAGTTTGGTTGTTGTTCAAATATAAAATTTATTTTATTTAAATATTTTTTAATATTCACCTTAATAAGGTTAAGAGCTCATAAGTCATAACTTTTTTTCTTTAAAAAAATTGGATTAATTTTATTGTATTTATATAAATTCAAGTTAACTAAGTTCATATGAAATCATTTTATTTTGAATAGATTTCACTTTAATTTTAACTTTAATATAATTATTTTAATTTTCAAATTTTTTTTTTTGTGGTGTTCAAATTAATTCAGAATATTTTTATTTTCCATGGTATATATAATTAACCCACTTATATTTTTATACATTTTAATTTTAATCCCTTTATATTAATTCTACAATTTTTTTTAATATCTCATATTTTTGTGTATGATAATAAAACTTAAATATATGCGTATCATTTAATTTAGTCAATAAAAATCTTTGAATTTTTTGTTAAGATAATAAGATTGAATATTATATATATATTAAATTAAATTTATGTTTCATTATTCTGATTTCTTGTCAATGTATATTGATAGACAATTTGCCTTCATAATATTATAGATATTGTGTTATGCATAATTGAAATCCTCTCACTTGTTTCAATACTGTTGATGCAAGCTTTAGCTTCAAATCACGTAAAAATAGTTATTGTATGTAATCTCCCCCTACTATGGAGACCTCTCTTCTCTTGTATTTGGAAGGCCACCACCCCCCTTCTATAGTCAGTATTG